CAAATTTTCGCAAAAATCGCAAATTTTCGCAAAAATCGGCAAATTTTCGCAAACATCTGTAAATTTTTGATTTTCGAATTTTCGGGATCCCGGCCCACAAGCCAATTCAAAAATCCAAAAATTTTCGAATTTTCGCGTATTCGCCCCAAACCAAATCGCGTCAATTTCGCTCATCAGTTTCGTTGTCACATGGGTTATATACTTCTGAACCATCCAGTACTCCCCTCGAACCCTGAACCTTGAAACACGAAACTGTGAGCTCCGAACCTAAAGGCCTTAACCCTAAGCCCTAAACCCTAAGCCCTAAACCTGGAGCCCTAAGCCGTCAACCCTAAACCCTAAACTCGTGAAAGATCCCTGCATCCTGCCTTAGCTGCTGGCCCGCGAGGATGCCAACGTCTGCAGTTCCCGTGGCAAGGTCCAGGACCTGCTAGGTTAGGGTTTAGGGGCGTAGGGGTTTAGGCTTATAGTCCCCCTCAAGTAGATAGAATATGGGTATATGGGGATCTTATTATCATCTACCCAAAGCCATATTCTATTTAGTTTAGGGGGGGTTTGGGGGTTTAGGGTTGGAGCTAGGGGGCTTAAGGTTCCAGGGTTCCAGGGGTGGGGTTTGGTTTTAGGGTTTACACTTTGCGGGCTTCGGGATTAAGGCTCTGGGCTTGGGAATTAGGATTGCGGTGTAGGGCCTAGCCTTTGGGGCATGGAGTTTGGGCTATACGATTGGGGTTGGGGGGGTTGTGCTACGGGAGCTGCTTGATGGCATCCGCTGCCCTACAGCAACTGAACCTCAGTTGCTACGATGTACATAGGTATAATATAGTATATTAGAATACATTATAATACATTATCGTATATTATCGTCAAATATACTATATTATAGCGTATTACCACTCGGGTATTCGTACCGTTCCAATTAATCGTCTCGACAACGTCATCATGACCATGATGCATCTTGCTGATCAGCAGAGCCGACGGGTGTCAGGAGGAGGCCTTCATGGGGTTTAGAGCTCAGGCTTTGGTAGGCCCCAGAACCGCAGAGGTAGTGAACCAAGCACCGGGGTCAGGTGTTGGAGTGTAGTTTGCAGCTACCTGCCCCAACTTACCACTCCTCAAGCTAAACCTCTCAAAGCCTAACCTCATAAAACACCCCACAAAGCCTAAACCCTAAACCCCTCAACGACTAAACCCTAAACCGTAAACCCCTCATATCCCTAAACCCGTCTAACATGGGGGGAGGTCAACAGGTCTCAAGTCCCAAGGTCTCAGCCCTGAAGCCCAAATTGGGCTGCTGTTAAGGAACTTAAACTCTAAGTTACCATAATATGGGCTTTTAAGAGTTTAGGGGGCTAAGTTACCATAATAAGGGTATATAGTAAATAATAGGGTTTCCTTGTTACCCTAGTGATCCAAGTGTGCAAATAACACCAACATTGGTCCCTAAAGTCTACAAATATTACATACATTGGGCTATTTGGATCCCTAGGGTTATAGCAACTTAATTCACTTAATTTCCTTAACAGAAACCTATGTTCCTGCCTTGTCGCCTGCCTGTAGCTGGAGACAGTCCTGCGCAGCCAGCTGAGCAGTGCATGTGTGGCAAAACTGAATCAAAGATTGTGACCATAAAGCCCTGAAACCTAAACCCTAGGCCAAAACCCTAAGCCCAATAATGATGCAACCCTTTTATAAGCAGTTGACGCCGCCATTTTAGCTCAGCCTTCTCTCCTATGAAAAGGCGTATTTTGATTGCTTTGCAAATTCAACCTTATGGAAGCCGCAATCATCATTCCTAGCTAACCAAAGGTAGGTAAAGCACTGGCCGAAAACTGCAAAAAAGAGCCGAAACAGCTATACCAAGGATGATCGGAAGAGCAGGAACAGGCAGAAGAGGCCTGAGACAAACCCTAAGCCCTGTACTACTGTAGACCTGCAATTATAAACCCCCTCCCCATATTAGGAATTACAATGGGGAATCCTAGTTCTAAGGTCCTTAAACAGGGGAGGGGTTGTTAATCACGGGTCTACATTAAGCCCGAAACCCTAAATAGTAGCTTCCCTTTTCTTTTCCACTATCCCTATATAACTCGTATATAAACCCTATAACCCTATGTGGCATGGACCTTTGTGTTTTATTTGGCGAGAGGTTTGTTTAACCTAAAACCCTTAAGAAAACACTTATTTCAAACCGAGCGGCCTTGCACGCAGCCTCTCGTCCAAGGCATACAGCGGCCCTTCACTACCCATGTAATGTTCTATAGTGAAGACAAAGTATTAAAGTTTTCTGTTTGCTTTAGTAGCGTGTTTTTTTTGAGGTTCCTTAATCCAAAAACTGCGGCAAATGCAGTTTGCCAGTACGCAGCATGCACTTGCAAGCCGCCAACGACATGTGCTGGGAACACGCATGCAGTACAATTTTTTCCGTTCCCGGCACAAAGTCTCACCCAGGTGGCAGCTGCAGCTGGCCTGCGGATGTAAAAATGGTTTTTGATAGGGGTGGATTTTTTAGTGTTGCCTCCAAGCCTTTCCCGTTTACTCCATATCGACACTGGCAAATTCTCTGAAGATATATAAATTAATTTTGTGAAGTATGGATTTTTTCATTTTGCCTCTACGCCACCGCCCGCCTTCTACTCCATGACGACATCGAGCATGCAGGATATCTGCAGATGTAAACATTAATTTTGTGAGGTATGGATTTTTTCATTTTGCCTCTACGGCAGCGCCCGACAAGTTGACGATCCACTCCTGATAAATAGAAAATAAACATGTATTAAGAAAAACACTGGGTCCGGGCAATTTTGTCCAGGTCAGCTGTATCAATACATCTCGTCCACCCGCAATATAAAGCAGATAATAGTGCGGTGAAAGAAAGACTAAAAGAGCAAGGCGCCGTTTCTGCTTGATAGCGACTTCCTTAGCACGAGTAAAAACTCGAAAGCTAAGGAAAAAAGACTCTGAGCCGAGCACTGCCTTTGTTTCCGTACTCGCGCCCTTCGCCTGCAGAATTATAATTCTACTAAGAATATATTAATTTGTTTTAAAAAAAGGACTGCCTCCAAAATCGTCAACAAAGCCCTGACCTGAGTGCAAACTTTACTGCTGAGTTCAAAATTTAATGCTTTTGAATAAGCGAAGAATTAAGGCAGAAACGTTCTGCTTTAGCAGGGACTTTCGCTCAGCCGTCATAGGATCGCGTGACCTGATGTATAAACGGTAACTGCTCTTAACTTTTGTTTTGTTGCAATTGGGCGCAAGGCTCTTTCATCCCGGCAAGCACCCATTGCGGTGGCGCGTAATCCGGCTGTTTCGGCCTTATGTGTTAATGCAGCAAGTACGAAGACTCAACTAACGTTTTTCTTACCTGCAAAGTATAAAATGTAAGTTCAAAATTAATGATGCATAAACACTAAGGTCTGCGCTTGAGCGCGCGAGCAGTCACGGGCTCGGCTTGAGTCTCCTGACAGAAATTTAGAATTCTTAGTTAATAAACTTGGTAAAACAAATGTTAAGGGTTCGGCAGGAGTCACGGAGTCAGCTTCCGTCTCCTGACAAAAATTGAAAATCCTTAATTAAACTTGCTCAAAACAAATGTTAAGGCTTCGGCACTCGCAGCACTGTCGTACCAGCAGTCGGGTCCGGTGTCGTAACAGAAATTCTTACTTAGACTTGTTTAAGACAAATATTAAAGGTTCGACAGCAACCGCACCAGTCGCGGAGTCAACTTCAGCTTCCTGACAAAAATTGTGACTTTTTAAGTAAATCTGTTTAAAACAAATCCCTCTCAATCCAAAGACCGCAAAAAGTGAGGTCATTCTGGTTTGCATGCTGTTTTTGGGGTCTTAGGCCTCCGATCACAAAATCACGATCATTCCGTAAACCTACGTTTCTGGATTACGGGGTTTACGTGGTCTATGGGGTTTACGGACTGTCTACGTCTGCGATGAGCAACTTCATAGGATGGCCCAAGGCATGTTGTTTAAATTACTTCTCAGTGCATGCGACGGTTCTTCCCAAAACTACTAGATAAGGTTGCAACATATGAGCTGTAGTCCAAACTCCTTAAAGGGGTGTATGAATTGTTGGGCTTCGTACATGGGATACTAGGGAGTTTAGAGCTTAGAGTATAGCTCATGTGACAATATGTACAACATTCCGCTGCAACCATGAGGCATTGCAGGATTGCAACTTCAGCTCAGTACGAAAGTTTAACCCTAAACCTTAAACTCAAGCCTAAATCTAAATCCTAAATCCTAAACACTAAACCCTAAACCCTGTAGCCACAAGCCTAGTCCCAGAGCTTTATCGCGTCCCGGTGCTCGACATGGCTCCACGGCCAGAGTCTCAGGCTTTGGGCTCGAAGGTTTCAGGCTGAATCTATAGCTGGATAACAATTTTGGGTTGCCCAGTACGAATTCAGGGATAGATTTATAACCTAGCGTACCACTCTAAGCCTGAGCAAATGCCGTGTCAAGCACCTAAATTCGAGGAGCTCTTTTGGCACTTTTAGCACAAGACATTTAAAGACACCGACGAAATCCTCGTCTATGAAACTATGAAAGAATCTCGCGTTCAGAAGGGTTGACATCTGATCTTCGGATAAATGACGGAAGGCATGGTGTTTGGGAACAGCCTTCCAGCGAGGCCTGCCTCGACGAAGGCTCAGAAGGATCAAGATCTCATAGAGGTTCAAGAACGTATGGCACGCATCATCCATAGCCCTTGCTTCGGAAGGTTCCAGGTATCGACCAGCCCTTTCCATTTGATCCATGAAGCTAGCCATCGCTGTGGTTGCAGCTGATGCCAAACGAAGCTCCTGAATCAAGAGCCCATCCATGTCCGAAGTTTCAATTTGGCGAAGCATTTCTCGAAGCACGAGCTCAAAGTAGCTTAGAATGAGCCTCGAGTTCCAGGCCTTCAGGTTCAAGCTCGGATATGCACCACCTTCCCAGCCTAGCATACCAGCTGTCATCGTGGCCTGCGAGTGCCTGATTTGTTCCCTAAGCCTAGACTTACACCTGAGCCTTACACTGCGCGGCTCTGACTAAGCCTGAAGCTACGCATTACAAAAATCAGTAGAATAAGATTAAAGGAAAGAAAATAAAAAAATCTCGTATCTGGAAAAATAGCAGGAGTCGACAGCTGATTGGCAGATGCCCAGGCTTTGAATCGGCCGCAGAGGCAAATCATTTTTGCGGGCAGCTGGGCATTGCCACGCCCACACCAACCTTACATGTAGAACCCCATACATGCGACTTAAGAACACGAGTTGCAATCTTTAAGTACATGTACTCATGATCATATTCCCACCAAGTAGCCGCACTCCTCGAAAAGAGTGAAAATGCTGCCATTCAGTAGCTGGAGAATCCCAAGGCGAATCGTATGCATTGCGCATATCTTTATAAATCGCGGTAAGAAGCCGGTGGCGCAAATGATGGGATTCGCTGGTCGACTCAGGGTTGATTGCTATTATCCCTAATAAAATTATAATGAAAGCCAGTTCACAACTCCAGGCCTCATTTGAGTCTCGATAATCTCACTTTGGCCACGTCGCTGAAAGTGGGCAGTGAGATCTTTCTTCCACCTGATTTGTTGCGAGGTTGTACATGTGGGAGCTTCCTTTAAATCAAACCACTAACAACTAAGAGGGCCCTAAACCATAGACCTCAAATCCTAAAGCTAGAGATGATGAATCATGCTTGGCTACGAAAGGTTTCATCGGGATTGAGGTTGCGCATGTGGCACGTGTTAACACTTTGCCAACCAGCCCGCAGTCGCAAGAATTCTTGGGGCCATTTCCAGTCACGCCGCAGCTCAAGCAAAAAGAGCTTCCCACCTTGGTGGCCCCGAAGGAAGCTAAATATCAAGGCCTAAACCGGCTATACCCGAAACCCTAAATACCAAACGGTGAACTCCAAAACCCCAAACCCAGACCTCATAAAAGGCTATAGGCTGAAAGACTATATCCCAAGAAAGCTTAAAACCCATTATCCCTACGAGGTCACGATATTGGAGACGATGGCTGTCAAGAGGCCTGCGATCTGTGTGCCAGGGGCATATCGTCCACGGTAAGGGTTCCCAGAGAAATCCTTTTCTGGATGGATTCCAATCGCCAGTTGATTCAGACTCCAGGTTATCTGTTCCATGAAAGGACGCAGACTCTCATGGCCCAAAGAGATGAACTCCCGCAAACAAAATAAGGGATACCGCTTCTGATGATGTCCTAGGATTGAGACTTGCAAGGTTCCACTGCAGAGGGTCAAGGGTACAGGGTTTGAGCGTTCAGGGTTAAGGGTTGAATCCTGGGGATTTGATTTAATAATAAATCGGTAAGACGACGAATTCAGGCCAGAATCGACTCGCATCCCGAGCAAGTATGAAGTTTAATGTCACCAAGATTACACGGTCCCGCGTCGCGTTGTACCGCCCATCGTCTCCATGCATGCCCAAGGGCATATGCCCTTTTCCAGGATGACTTAGAGGCCAGGTCTCGTGCTTCTGAAGGTGCTGCCAGTACTTCTCCACCATTGTCGAAGTTATCTGCACCCTTCCATCTTCCTTAAATGTTCTCAAAAAAATTGGACACGCATCATTAATAATACATTATGTAGCTAAGGTTCGCGCAGGAAATGCACCAATTCATGCGGCATGATGAAAGGCAATCTCAGATATGTTCGGAGGTTCGGTCCGATGCAGCAAGCACTGGTATATCGACAAAGTGTACGTCCTTTCATGCGCTCTGCAGACCATGAGAAACAAATCTATAGATAAATCAGTGAACATCTTTTTAAAAAAAGCAAGTAATTTTCGCAAGGGTCAACCTGGAGACGAAGTGACCTCATGATATCCCGCTCCATGTTCCCCGGATATTTTCCCCAGCATCCAGCCCGCGCAAAAGCCTTTGTAGCATTGCTGCAGGACCCAGCACTTTCCTTCACCACGGCGGCCGCAGCTTGCTGAAGGTGGGCGGCAGATGTTGCCTTGATACTGCAGGGGGACTTGTAGAGGATTTATTTCAGGGTTTAGGGTTTAGGGTTTAAGGCTTATAGCTAGGGTTTGAGGGCATTCGAAAGCTGACCTTGAATTTTCCAAGGTATATAATGTTGAAGACCAACGCTCAAAATTGCTAATCAGCCAAAAGGTCCCCAGACCCCAGGGAAGCTAACAAATAGTTGCGCGCTGTCTCATCATCTGCGCAGGGGCATGCCATGATATTGCACGCAGGGCACATGAAACTCAATCGTAGCACTCATGCATCTAGATTTCGTATTGTTTTCTTGCAAGCACGCCGGATAGAGGCAGGTTGCCATGCGTTCAGGTCCCTGCATATTATCAAGCTGGGCCTGGTTCGGCAAACCAGGTAAAATCCAGAACCCATCACCAATAACCCCATGACTTCTAAAACATATTCGGAGCCTCCACTGGAGACACTAACCCTGCTATAACCCAAATGGCCAGGTCATCGGCAGCATAATCTTCGCAGAGATGAGCATGTCATAACCTCAGAAGTGGAAACACTTGAGGGCAGTTCTATATATTGAGAAGGTGCAAGGCTTTTACGGGATTGGCATTGCAGCTTTTCTGGCACAGTTGCAGGAGCTGCACTTCTCCCCGAAGGCAGCCAGCACTATTGGATCCGGATGGTCGTGTTAAACTCGAATAATCGTGATGTAAGTCCGCCTAGTGCGGAGAGGACTGACCACTTACGTACCTCGGAGCAATGCTGCCATATCCTTGCGGAAGTTTTAAACCCTTATGCTGTAGCACTCTCGGGCCAGCCTTTTCTGAGGTACAGGGTGCACATCCTGTGGATCAAAATATCATTCAGTCCCTCTATGCTCTAGCCTTTGACTTGGGGGTGGCCTTGCTCTTCGCCTTCGTTGGATTTCGGAGCAGCAAGGTGAAGCCGAACGTGTTTCGAAGCTTCCTTGTAAGCCGAGTTGAGGTTGTTAAGCTGGTAGACCAATGGGGCCATGACCTGCTCCGCCTCACCCATAGCCACTGCTACCTATACAGGGATCTATCGCTCAAAATATACACATTTCGGGGCAAGCCCTTAAATGCCGTAAAATCAGAATCAACGCCCAAATCCCCCCGAAGCCCTAAAATCAAAATCCTAAAACTCCTTAAACCCTAAACCATTTATAATCGTAAAGCCATGCGCAGCAAACCCTAAACCCTATCGGATCCCCCAAAGGCCTCAACCTTCTCTCGCCCATCCCGGAGAATATCAGCCTGACTGTTCATACTGTGGACCAAGGCCCTGATGAGGTTCTCATCCCTGGCAGCAGGTGTACGGAGGCATTGCAATGGGGGAAATTGATTCAGCACATATTGCGGACAAGGTGAACCCCCGACATTCTCAACTTGTATTCAAAGCCCTGGATCTCAAGCAGGTTTGAGTTCGCGAGGATGATAGCCTTATAAGCTGCTTTGAGATTAATAATAAAGCGAAGCTATTTACGTGGGTGTGGTATTAATTACTCCAAGGCTCACTTTTGGCTTGCTGCTGGAGGGATTTGGGCTTTGCCACAAGCTTCTCCTTCTTGGGTTTTGGACCTGGGGGTGCTCCACTTCCTGCTGCATCATCTGCCCCAATTGGGGGTGCCTCCCCTGCACGTTCTCGGATCATGGCTTGCCTCATCTCAGCCTCGTTCAGCTCCACTCCAGCATCCCAACACTTGTAGAGACGCAAGGCCTCCAGGAAAGGGTGTTTAAGGGGCAAGTGGTTGGTCTGGATTACCGGGTTTAGGGGAATTCTTCTGCCAGGTCTCCTCATTGTTTGGGCAGTTTGGATCCGCCATAGCCAACCCAGCTTCTTCCTGCAAAGACACGCATGTGTGTAATGCATACTTTGACCTTATATTTTAAGCCTGGATCCAGAAATCCCCTACCCACGCGAGATGATCATGTCCTTTGCGGCCATAATCACTTCAGCATCCTCAGGGGAGTACTTCTCGAGAAGCTCCTGGTAGGGATGATCATGAACATCTACATATTAAAAATCTATCAGGCCAGGGAAGTGCTTTAGCATCCTTGCGGGACATCCACTTGTACTGCGTTCTACTCAAAGTAGCATTTCGCTGCTTTTCCCTCATAACCATCTCCGTCTTCGCCCCAATCTTCATTTGCGTTCAAGTACTGCTGGAACAGGCTCTGGAGCTTGGTGCCATTGACACGTGCTCAGATGTGGGTTTGAGGCGTTTAATTATATTAGGTTTAGGGTTGAGGCTGTTGAGGCTGTGGGCTTTGGGGTTTAGGGTTCAAGGTTTAAGGGTAAGGGTTTAGGGTTTGGGGTTCTTACAGTTCATGGCCTCGTTCCGAGTTTAGGCTTTAAGCTTTAGGGATTAGAGTTTGGGGTTTAGGGTTTAGGCTGTAGGGTTCACTGCAATTGCAGTGTATCAACTGGTTTGCAAGAGAGCTGCCCTCGGCATCTTTGCACTCATTGTATGCCTTGACAACGGCCGGTGGCAGGTAGTGCCTCAGGATGCTAGGGGTTCCACTGGGTTATGTTAAGCCATCGTGTGAGCTGACTTAATTCAAGGCACTTTTGACGCTGTGACTGAACCTCATGTAGGCAGCCCGTGTCAACTTGCGTTCCTGGGGTCAGAGTAGGATCGAACCCTAATAAGTAATGTATAAAATAGCCCCACTATATTTGACGTAAGCACGCACCCTAAACCCCAAACCATGCATATGGGCTCCTCTGCATCCTCCGCCTCCTTGTGTCCATTCTTCTTCTCTTCTGGTTGCTGGGCTGTCACCTTTTTCAGGTGTGCCTGGAGGATCGTGCATTTCGAAAATTTGGTCAGCGACCAAAACTATTTGGTCAGCGACCAAACATTTTTGGTCACCGATCAAAAAATATTCCGACTTGTCCAACCTGATGTCGTAGACGATATGAGACATTGTTGCGACCCCATGAGTGGCGCGTACGATGCGCAACTATGCCGCAACAGGAACGGATCATTCGACGAACATATCAAAAAGCGGAGAAGAAAAACATTCGAGTGGCTTTGCGTTTTGCAAATCCGTGAAAGTTGGTGCAAGCCATAGCCATAGTAGTGCTCCAGCCCATCCAATATATACGTGTGTGTCTAGAATTTGAACACTATACTTACTGTGTTGTTCCTCTCTTTCTCTCTGAATTTCTCTTTCTCTCTCTTTATGTCGCGCAACCTATACCGATCAACAATGCGTATACGCAAGAATACATCTCAACAAGCCCGCGTGTGTGCGAACAAACGAAAAGAGCGAAGGCATGCGCCCGCATATACACGGTAAGGTAGAGTAAAGCGCCAGCCACGCAGAACAAACCCGAGAAGCCACCGCGACCTGCCAACCACAACGCGCAAGCGCGAAACTCGACATGAGATTCCTTAGCATCCTTCAAATAAGCGCAGAGACGGGCAACCATGCAATCGTCAAAAGCTGTGGATCTTCGGCCTAATGTAATACCGCGGCCGCGTGACGGTACAGCATGCCTGCCGGCAAGCATCAAGAAGTCTTCCTCTGATTACGTAATAATTCTTTATGAGCCCCTTATACCCCGTGCTTTCGACCCTTAAGCCCTATATGCACCCTGGCTCTATATACCCTCTTTCAGATACATACGTGGACCAAATATGCAGCCATAACTTATTCACTGTATATGTGGGGACTATAGTTGGATTTCTGTATGAAAATGGCCCATGTATTGTAGTGCACCTTCCATAACAAGGGATTAGGCAGGGTAGGGTTTTGCGAGGCTAGCATACTGCAACCTGAACCAGTCCTTTCTCTCTCCTTACCCAATCTACCTTATAGATAGGATACCCTGGGGTTTCCACCCTATACATACTGGGGATCTTATGTATGGGCCTTCGAGGGTATGTTCCGCATGTAACCTTTATATGAGAACCCCACATAAGCGTGTCTCGTCCAGATGGCACTGGCCAATTTTGTACAAATTCAAACCCTTATCCTAACCCTAACCTATATGGCAATAATTTTAGAGACAAATGCCCGAAAAGCCTATATATAGAGCCTCAAGACCCGAAAGCCCGTATTAACATATAAACATATTTGGGACTTGGAGATATGCTTCTAGTTCGGAAGCACGTGCACTTGACGCACGCAGGCAACTGCGATCAAGGGTTAGGGGTTT